TATGAACAACACGACCTTGTATAGATAGAAAGAACGATTCGTCGTGTATCTAAAACACAAACAGAGAAAAACATTTACTTGTTTTTATGTACAAAGTCGCAATGACCGCACTCGAAATAATAACAGAAGTTTCGAGATTAATGCTATATATACCACAATAATAAGATATTGCGGGTACAATGATGCTCTTCGAACATGAGCAATTGAAACGGACTTTCAACTTGAGCACTTTCTTCCGAATGATAATAACGGCTTTCGCTCACAGCGAGACGTGAAACAACAAGTGCGTTGATTGTCCCTCAGCGCGCTTCCCTCACTCCGCGCGCTTTGCAGCGTCACGATTAGAGCGTACATATCGAGCCACCACGCGCACCATTGCCCGCGCATTTCAGCAGAGAAAACCGCTCAGTAGCAATCGAACGTGATTGGCTCTTACTTTGAGAATCAACAAATCAACGTCGAATGTTGACAAGACGATAACTGAGCGGTTTTCTCTGCTAAACGCGGGCAAAGGTGCGCGTGGTGACACGATGTCTACGCTCCAATCGCGATGCTGCAAAGCGCGCGGAGTGAGGGAAGCGCGCTGAGGGACAATCAACGCACTTGTTGTTTCACGTCTCGCTGTGAGCGAAAGCCGCTATTATCATTCGGAAGAAAGTGCTCAAGTTGAAAGTCCGTTTCAATTGCTCATGATCGAAGAGCATCATTGTACCCGCAATATCTTATTATTGTGGTATGTATAGCATTAATCTCGAAACTTCTGTTATTATTTCGAGTGCGGTCATTGCGACTTTGTACATAAAAACAAGTAAATGTTTTTCTCTATTTGTGTTTTAGATACACGACAAATCGTTTTTCCTGCGTATACAAGGTCGTATTGTTCATATTCGTGAAATATTGTCGAAGGTGCTGTTATTATTCATAGATCGGTCATAGATTGATCATGTAAGTGCAAGTTCTTGCGTTTGGCACGAATCTTGATCCAATAATGCTTCCAATTCCGCGTCTTCATACACTTTCGGCCTTCCGCTACGTTCTTTGTCTTCGATGTCGAATTCACCGTTCTTAAACTTTTGAAACCACTCACGACAACTTTTCTCACTTAAGGCAGCCTCACCATATGCTTCTACAAGCATATGCTTTCATATGCTTTCAAAAAAAACGAATAATTGTTTAAAAAAATACATTATAAATAATTACATACTTTTTCTTAAAAACATTTAATTTTTTTTTACTAATTGATTTGTCTCATTATTCTGTACATAAAAGTATTACGGTAAGACACATATATACATATATATGTTTTAAATATGTGCAGCTTAATTTCTTCATATATAACATATGTAAGACATTTCTACTTACCGTGGTAACAAGAAATTATAATATGCACTTATTTAAACTTTTAATATTAACACAACCACATTTGATTGACAGCTGTCAGGCTGTACGTGTGACGTTTGTATTCTAACATGGCGGAACAAGTTGGCGCCTCTCTGATAATCTAGGACTCTATTCTCAACTATCCGACTCGCGTATAGATATCAGGGTTGCCACATGTAAGTTCGTCTGGAGATCGGCAAGCAAAAAAAAAAACTAACGCAATGTGTTACGAACTTATTTATTTGCACTCTAGAACTTTTTATATTGCACAAACTTTATATATTTTTTACACTCTATCATACATTGTTTTATCACAGTACATAGATTTAAATGTCATCTTCACAGATTGCACTAACCGAATTCGGAAACAAAAATAAAAATATATTAATATAAAGACTGCGACACAAGACTTCCATAATTCTTTCAACCATACAACATACTTCTACAATTGCGTTTTCATTTTGAAAGTATATTTCTTATTACTTAACACATTTTTTAGTAATTCTATTTGTTCCGGTTTCCTTATATATTCATAAAATTTTTTACATTTCATATTATAATTCATTTTCGTATAAATTTCAGCTTTTACTGATTCCACTTTCAGGCGGTTTCGTTCATCACTCCATACATTATTCATTATTGAAAAGATTTCTCATCTAATGTATCATTAACATCATTTATAGAAGGTAATAGATTCTTTATAATGTTACGTCCTGGCGACTCCACGATTCCTTTCTTCCGCGACGTTGCGGTAACGATCGTCAGTTGGTGATAAGAACGAACCGTTCAATAAACAAAGCATCTTGTGCCATACGTTTCTTTTAAACACTGTCATTTGTCAGTAACTACATCCACGAGTATCCGTGGGAAAGACGCAGGGAAATCGGTGATGGAAACCATGCCGGTCTCGAGATAAATAAAAATTAATATCTACCCATTGCAGTAGAATTTCCGGCGGAAGAACAACGAGATAACAAGAACTTTTAACGAAATGTTTAATAAACTCAGCTGCATTAATACTGATAATAATTTTCTAACGGACAAGTAATAAACACAGCTGCATCAACGTTGACAAAAATAATTATAAGGAAGTAAGACCCTTTTCTAATCAGATCATGTGCGCGAGGGTCCCCCGGAAAGGCTAATGTTTAAGGAACTTTTGAAATAATAACGAACTCACCAACCGACGATCAGCACGGGTAAAAAATACGAAAATAGGAGACACCCCCTGCCGAATGAGGTCACTGGCACGATTCTAATTCGTTAAAAGCTTGAAGAATCCCTACTTTTGCATAATTTCAATCTCGTTCGATCCGATTCTAACGCTTCGAGACGTTTAACTTCGGGATCATAAAGATAGTGGTTGCGCCCTTCTACTGACTCATCCTTCCTCGAGTCTGGACGTAACAATAATGTATACTTCATCATATAATTTATCTTTATTAATCATTATATTCAAACAACTTGTTGCATCCAAAACATTTTCGTAATTAAAATTATTTTTTAAAGTAAAAACTTCTAATTTTTTATAAATCGTTGTATCGTAATCATACCATTTTTCAAGGTAATTTAATGTTTTTTGGTAAACCTGTAATGCTTCGTTAATAAATATATCTTTATTTGCCATGCATTTTAATGCAGAATTTATGACAGATCCAAAAAATTTATCCTTCACTCGAATTTCTAATTTTTCTTTCAGCGATCTTATTATTGCATCTAATTCAATACATGTCAAATTGTTACTTTCAATTGACAGTAATGATTTTGTCATTAGATTCATATAATGATGTACAAAATATAAATATAATTTTGGATATGAAATAGATTTCAGATTACATTCTGTGGGTAAGGTATGGGATAGGAGATCTATCGTTTTTGGGATTCGTCGTAGGACACTACCCAATTTATCCTACTTGCAGGTAGATGAATGAACGAGTCGATTTCCATGTAATATTATACATTTATTCTTTCTATACACTAATAACGTAAATTACGATTGCACGCATAAGAACTATTATTGTTATTATTGCATCTGGGCTTATATTTTCCCCCGCGTCTCTTCGTCTGAGTTGCGACGTCTGTTGTCTTCTTAAGGGGATCCTAAAGCGACGGGCGAACTCCGACGGGTTAGCGCCCTCATCCAAACGTAACTAAAAATATCAATAAAACCGACGTTTTTAGTTCCGCCATTACCGACACATTATTATTTGAAACATGCATAATAGAAAAAGTAATCTTTTGCATTGTGTTCAATATATTGAATTGAGACAAATCGCGTATTTTTACTGCTGTATCGTTTCGCAGATATCGAAACATATCTAAGCGTGTCGATGATAGTAAAATATAGATGTGTCTTTATTGCATAGTTTGAACACAAAATTTCAACATCGCTCATATTGTGACAAGTACTTTTCCATATATTTTTCAAAAGTAATATCACTTGATCATTTGTGTATGTGTATATATTTATATATACATGCATATACAGGGTGTCCCAAAGTACCCTTGACAACGCTCGTGAGCAGGTAGAGCACAGTAAACTGAACAGCGCTCACGCACACTACCAGGCGCGCGGCTAAAGATCGACGCTGATTGGCTTTACTCAATAATAACTCCTTTATTAAGTATTATAGAAAAAAATCTTACAGGACTTTTCTGTTCAGTTTACTGTGCTCTACTTGCTCACGAGCGTTGTCAAGGGTGCTTTGGGACACCCTGTATATATAATATATTTTATACATGTATAAAAAATATATATATATGTAAATATATTATACATATAATTGTGTATGTACATGTTTATATATTTCTAATATAAATTTAGAAACATTTATAATATACCCAGGATGAACGACCTGGACGTGATAGGGTTCTCATCCCATTGGGATGCTTTTTGAACGTGAGCCCCC